TAGGCTGCCTCCCTGGGAGCCCAGGCTCAGCTTGGTGGAGCAAAAGAAAGGATCGTGGTGCCAGACTGGGGCTGGAAATTGAAGGTGCAGTCTGCATCTTGAGGGGAAGACACTAGAGCAGTGCAGTAGGAACTGGGGGTGCTCTAAGCCTTAGTCCTCTCATCCACAAAAGGGAACGAATGTGGAGCAGAGTAATCCAAAGAGGGTTGGGTGCCCCTCCCTTTGGCACCGGAGACTATTAAAACAATGATCCCCAGGATTTGGAATTTCCCAGGAATCTCATGCTGAGGGAGGGAAAAGCTGAAGCCCCATTGCCTGCCAGCAAGGAGGGGGTGGGGGTTGTTTCCAGGTAGGAAATCTCACACAGCTCTGTCAACTTGTCAATTTGCAAGAGAAACCAGAGCTGAGACAAGGATTAATCAGGGATGGGGTGGTTGTGGTGGGGTCACCACACTTTGACTAGGACCACTTAGTTATATCCCCTCTGGCCCTCTATTTAAGCCTAAGCCTCTCATCAGGACCCTGAAGATGGACTTTTATGTGTGTGTGTGGAGGGGGGTGTGTGTAACTGGGCCCACTTTTTTCCTCCTTTTCCCAATGTGGCCATGCTTAATAAAGTCTCATCTATTTAATTGGCATATTGAGGACCCATGGCTGAGCCTATCCTGTTGGGGTTGCCAGGGCTCAGACTTCGACCCAACCTCTCTGACGACAACATTGGCCTCAGAGGTGGTCATGAGGCTCCATAATGGAAACACCTGTTGCACGAGGCTTTATTGTAATTTAACGAGCTAACCCCATGTTAGCTCGGGTCTTTCACCCACCCGCCATGGCAGATGGCTAGAAAAGACGACTCCTAGGGGCTCTCGAGAGATCTTATAGAGCAGCGTAAGGGGAGTGTCTAGGGGTCCACACAGGCTCAGGATTGGTGTGCCTCCAGGCTTGGAGGGCTTGCCCTGTGTTGATTGGTCAACTGGTTGTTATGGCCCATAGTCCCTCCCACGGTGGTTGCTATGCTCTCTACGTCAGTGCTGTGCGCGTGTCCGTAAAGCACGCCCAGGGTCGTAAAGCATAGTGCCACCAGCTAACTTCTGATTGGTTCCTTGTCACGAGGCAGGCATCTTGCTTTCTAGTGTCATAGAAGCACGTGTTCGACCGTTATGGCTGCCAAAAGGGAAGCTGGTCCCTTCACTGTATAGTTGGGGGATCACAAGATAAATGGATGTCATGAGCCAGGAATAGCTGGGAGAGGAAGGGGAACGGGTGGTGGGACAACCACCATCCACATTGTCTCATTCAGTACCATCACCAAGAATTTCTCTTTGTACAAGTTAGCACCCAAAAGAAATCTTTGCTATGGAACAATAAACAGAGCAGTTGGAAGGACTTGGAAAGTACTTATGAGTCAGAAAACTTACCCAGAGGTCAGTATGGAGGTGTGAATCTTCCAAGAGCCTCTAGAGGGCACATGAAGGGGCTGATGAGCAAACAGCATGGGAAGGACATTTGGCTCAGTGTAAGAACTTCATCCGGAAAACACACATTCTTTCAGTCCTTAGTCATGGTCCTGGCTCCTAGTCCCCACTGTACTTCATTGTTTAGACCAGTACAGATGGCTGCTATGCCTATCAGGCAACCTCTGAGACACAAAAACAACAGGGGGATGGATGGATGGATGGATGGATGGATGGATGGATGGATGGATACATAGTTGGAGAAGTGGATAGGAGGATAAGTGGTATAGATGGATTAGCAATGAATGGAAGGAAATTGAGTAAGTGGATAGGCTAAGAATGTGAAGATGGATAGGGAGGTAGATGGATGGATTGAGTGAGTGAAGAAGTGGCTTGAAGGGGATGATGAAAGAGTAGAAACAAGGAAAAGTGCCACTAGATAGATAGATGGATGGATGGATGGATGGGCAGAACTGTTTTAAGAAAATGGTTAGCATGACCTCTATGGAAAAATGAGAAGCTGAAAACTGAGGTGGAGTGATTGCTCAACAGTTTCCTTTGTGTGTGTGTGTGTGTGTGTGTGTGTGTGTGTGTGTGTGTGTGTGTACACTATGTGTTTGAGTGTGTTTCTTGTACCTCTGTATGCATGTGGAGGCTAGAGGTTGATGTCTTTCTCTATCATTCTCTATCTTAATTTTTTCAAACAAAATTAGACTGGCTAGACTAGCTGGCCAGCAAATTCTAGAGAACCACCTGTCTCCCTCCACTCCAACCCAAACTTGCATGCTAATGTTAACAGATTTCTGCCACTATACCAGGCTTTTACACACAAATGTTTGAGGGCCAAACTCAGATCCTTCTGCTTGTACAACAGCTACTTCCTAACCAAGCTGCCTCCCCAGGCCCTTGTAGTAGAATTTACTCCCAAGATCTTGGGTGATTTAGTAAGATCAAACATATTAATGACATCTCCCTTATCAAAGTCCACTGGTCAATTTTAACCACATCTAGAGAGTGCCTCCAGGGGAATGTCTGTTCTTAAAAAGTCATAGCATGCTTTTATCCATTCAAATGGATACATAAGACCAAACACCACAGATGGCTTAAGAAATGGCAGCTGTACTGAAAAGAAAGAGCACCAGTTCTATAACACCTGGAAATGTGGCTCCTGCTGTGGGTGCCACAAGATGGGAGTATTAGGATGTGAGGAGTGAGGCCACGGGAATAAGTGTTAAATGGGAAAATGCAATTTTGTGGTAGAAAGATGTTTTTGGTTTCTGGTATCATATACCCAAACTAAGTTTTTAACAAGTAGGTGAGACATGAGAGGCCGAAGAACCCTGAACTTGCAGTTGCAGGCTGTCTCTGCTGGGGTAGGTCCATCAGGCTCTTGACTAACTACAGGAGATTGAGTCTGGTCTCTGTCAGAGTGAAGGGACCAGCTCCCCATTTCCACAGTCATAACAGCCGAACACATGCTTATCCGACCTTGTCTTAGTTACTAGGTTAGATGCTTGCCTCGTGGCAAGGAACCAATCAGAAGTTAGCTGGTGATGCTATGCTTTATGGCTCTGGGTTTGCTTTACGGACAAGTGCACAGCAATGACACACAGCATAGCAACCACCCTGGGAGGGCCTATGGGCCATAACAACCAGTTGACCCATCAACACAGGGCAAACCCTCCAAGCCTGGAGGCACACCAATCCTGAGCCTGTATGGACCCCTAGACACTCCCCTTACACTGCCCTATAAGATCTATATGCAGACGCTTCGAGCTGTCTTTCCTAGCCATCCGCCATGGTGGGTTAGCTCATTAAACATGGGGTTAGCTCATTAAACAACAATAAAGCCTTGTGCAGTTTGCATCAAGCTTTCGAATCCGCCTGGTGATTGGGGTGACCGAGGTCCTGGGCTGAGATCCTGGAGGCCTGAGCTTCCGGGGGTCTTACAAGTGTACACAGGCTAGACTGTCCTGTCTTGTCCTGTGCCCATCCCCACTACAATACATACCTGGAAATTCTGCCCCCATGGAAACTTAGCTCTGGTTCTGCAAGAGCTCAGGGCGGAGTGAAGGTCTCCCTGGGGGTGGGGGTGGGGGTTGGGCAGCCTCAGGAGGCTTTGTGGCTGTTATTCTGACTCTCCTGATTTACTCAAGGGAGTGTGGCAGGAGTCCTGGAAAGTGATGGCATGCTCGGGCTTAGTAGGAAGGCCTTAATCTTGTTCTCCCCCTGGAATACAATCTGCAGATGGTTGGATGTGTGCCAGCCATGGTGAGGTCCCAGTGGTTAGGACCTGGAGCCCCCTCCAACAGCCTTCAGTCCCTTGGTGGTAAAGCCTGCCAGCAATGCAACTGAAGCCTTGTGACAGTGTGACCTCATCCCTCAGCAGTACCCTGATGCTGGACTCCCAGAAACACCCCTTCCATCAGAGAGAATATCTGCCTGGTAACAGTGGAAGCAGAGTAGTTTGCTGCAGGTCAAGGCTTATCTGGTGTTTTGTTTTCCATCAAAGTGACAAAACACGGAGGCAAAACAACTTCAGGGATAAAGAGCTGTGCTATTAAACTGCCAGCCTATGTGTTCCACTCTGGTTCCTAGTGGGCCTTCTCTTTTTAGGTAACTTTTTGATAATTTCCCTTAGATGCAACCAGAGTTTTACAGTAGTCTCTTGAGGGCTCAGTTCAGTGGAGTTGGGAATCAAGCTCAACCATCACACCCTGGATTCCACTTCCAAATCTGAAGCCTAAGAACTCCATTCCTTTGGCTGTATTGTCTACCCTGGACCTCCCGGCCTGAAGAATGGAGAGCCTGGAACCCCAGGGAGAATCGGGGAAGTGTATAAAGCGTCAACATTTGACCTTTCACAGTACTCAAGGGAAGCCTCGGGGCTTCCCTTGTTTTATGCTGCCCGTGTAGAAGCAAGCTGAGGTGGCCACAGGTGTTCTCCATCTTTCCTACGAGGGAAAGCACCAGGTGGGCAGGGGCTCCTCACAGGTAGCTAGTGTTAGAGGCCTCCCTCAGGGAACCCTCCCCCAGGGAACTGCTAATTCTGCAGCACAGCCTTCCTACAAACTGTGCGCCACGGGGCTGGCCCTCATTTTCTCCAATAGGAATGAGGAAAACTTAAAGGTAGATGCTTTTGTGTGGGACCAGAGGTGGGGTACTGAGAAAAAAGTGTGAAAGCTCACTTCCTAGAATACCCAACACCTTTAAGTGTTCAAAACAAGGCATCACCAGCAACAAAACCCTTGCATACAGGCACAAAGTGTGGTTTGGGATGTCTTAGTTGCGGCACTGCAGTTTTAAAATAAGAATCATAGATCCAAACCTGGCCCCAGCCCTGGCCTCTGCATTTCCAGGCTCCCCCACGGTGGAGTCTGTGCGCACTGGTCATCCTATCCAGGGAGGCCCAGCTGCACTCCCGGGAAGGGTCTTGGGGGGATCCTACACCAAGGCCCTAGTGCTTGCCCAGCCCCCGCCTTCTGAGAGGCCGAGAGGGGGAGGAGCCACGCGCATGTGCACAGCTGGCGCCCCCCGCCCCCCGCGCACAGCTGGGACGTGGGCCCGGGACCTGAGGACTCAGTTGGGAGCCGGCGCCGGCCGCGCCCGCCGAGGCCTCCGCTGCGATCCACACGTCCCAGGGTCTGTCCGCGCTATCTACCATGGCCGTGCGCCCCATGCGCCGCTGCCTACAGGCGCTCGTACTATGCTTCTCCTTGGGGGCTATGGCGGTGGTCGCCTCGAAGCCAGGGGCAGGCTGTCCAAGCCGCTGCCTGTGCTTCCGTACCACCGTGCGCTGCATGCATCTGTTGCTGGAGGCCGTACCCGCTGTGTCGCCGCAGACCTCCATTCTGTGAGTGCGTCTCAGGGGCGCTGGGGTCCGCGGGACGTGTGATTCAGGGGGATCTAGGAGCGTGAGTAGCCTGGGGGGACAGGGGTATTGGTTTGGGGAATCCCAGCGTCCGGTGCAGGGCGTGCTGGGCCTTTGTCCGTCCTGGCTGGGACGCCAGGGGCGGACCTGAGCGAAGAGCGCGCGGCCTTAGGAGCCGCCTTTGTTCAAACTCAGAATCTCCCGCTGGACCGGGAAGTGGTAGGGAGTCGCCAAGGAAAGCCCCGTGCGTCTCGTGCGCCCTCCCCTACTGGCCTCCCCTCCGCTGTCTTCTCAACTTTCACTCAACCCGCTCCCCTTCCTTCCCTCCCCCTTTCCTCTTTGCTCTCTCCTTCTCTCCCTCCCCCTCTTTTCTCTCCCCCTCTCCTTCTCTCCCTCTCTACTCCCTCTCACCCTTTCTCTTCCTCTCCCCGCTCCCCTTCTACCTCCCTCTCTCTTCTGAATTGCAGACCTGGGGGTGGTTCGCCCCTCCTCCGACCTCTTCCTCCATCAGTCTACCTGCCTCCCTTCCCCCGCCTCCTGGAGCGAGGCCCACCCCACACCACCCTGTGCCAAGGAAACCTCTCTAGTAGATTCTGCGCCCCGCGGCGCCACCATCGCCAAGTATATACTCCCACCAGCTTCTGAGCCAGAGCCTTCAAGTTAGTTGGGTGTCCTGGGGACCCTGTTGGGCGCAACACTTATAGGGTGCTTTTTCTTTGCCAGTAGGGAGCCTGACATCCAAGGTGCCATGGAGGCTGTTAACCCGCTGTGCGGGGTTAACAAGTTCTGGGCAGCCCGGGGAACTCCTCTTGCTGTTTCTACTCCTAGCTAGTCTGTTTCGCAGAAGTCCCCCACTTCCTGGACACTTGACTTTCACCTATAACTGTGCACTTCTGCCTCTAGAAAGCCCCCAGATCGGAAGAAATCCCAGTCCTGGGGGAGAGGCTAGAGTTGGCTGCAGACCTCTGTGTGCTCTGAGATTTGGTTCTGCGAAGGCAGGCATGCGTTTCAGGGGCCAACTGTAATTCAGGGTCCTGCAGCTGCACTTCTGCATTCCAAGAAGAGTTTTCACTTTTTGTGGCTGGGCTGGAGGACTTTGGCATCTCCGCGGAGCCTGTGAAAGTTATAAAAATCTGAGGGAACTATTCAAGGAGTGGGCGGTCAGTGTTCTCACTTCTAAAAGTGCATGGGTGTCCTGCTTCCTCTGGTGGAGACTGTGCAAGCAGCAGGGCCAGGCTGGGGTGGGAGCGCCTAGCAGAATCCTCTGAAGAGCTAAATAAGGCTTCCATTCCAGAGGGTGTGGGTGGTCAGCCAAGGCTGTATCTGAGAGGACAGACATCGTGCTGTAAAGGAATCAACTTTTAAAACGGGCCAGGGTGGAATGTCTCCAAATTTCTGAAGTGAGTCAATGGCCAAAACTTGGACCCTGAAGCCATTTTTCACATCTGGGCAAAGTCTGATACTCAAAACTGTGTGTTCCCAAATCTTAATTGCTTTTTGCAACAGTGTTTTAAAGTGAGCTGTAGAACAGAATTGGAGTCCTCCTCCACCCTGCTTTGCATGCTACCATGCTACACAGAAATGTAGCTCAGTGGTTAAAGACCTTTGCAGCCAAGCTTTGACAACTTGGCTTCAATTCTTCAGGACCCACATGATGCAGAGAGAACTGACTCTTGCAAGTTGCCCTCTGACTTCCTGTCCATGCCACATGCCACCCCACTCCCCAC